GGTAGACATTTTAATGTATTCTCGAGTTTATTAACAGCATAAAATAATTAATGAATACTACATTATTATTTGTTTTAGTTCTTACGCATTTTTTTGAAGTCTAAAAATAATAGACATAATGTTCTATCAATAATATTCTAACCGTCAAATGGATGACGATGCATGACGTCAGAAACTCGTCATTGGAAAATTCAATATGCTATACTTGGCTACCTATAATTCATATTAACCACATACAGCCCACTCCACAATTACGAATGCGAAATACACACACAAAAAAAAAAATACCTAATAAAATTCAATTTATTCCCAATAGGGTATGTATCAGGCCCGTATCTACGGAAGGGCGAAGGGAAGAAGGGGGCGTTGTCCTCCCTTAACCTAATCGTTGCCTCCTCTTAAAATATTAAAAAGAATTTTAGGAAGGTATATATTTTATTTCGTATATTACATTATATAATACCACCCTAAAATTTGGTTTGCCCCACCTGAATATTTGGTCTGGCTACGGGCCTGGTATGTATGAATGGTCTCAATGTCTCATACAACTAAATCTTTCTAAATAAAGTTATGTACTAATAATAAATTTTCGATTTGTAAAAATCTTTTTGAATCGACAACATTTTCATTTTCTTACATATACAATCGGTCAACCATAATCGAAATATATCTAATATCTAACTTAGTAAATTATGTTTTAAACAACTGCAGCTATAGTATATGAATTATGATTTATGGTATAAGAACTATAACAATAGTATTTTTTAATATTTTAAATATGCATTTTTTCTTGCATTTTAATTTTTAACAAATTATGATGTATGATATTTATAGTTTTTATTTTTATTTTTTAATAATAATTCAATAAGGTTGATATAGTAGACAATTTTATTTTTTTATGCAATATACGAAAAATCTAGTTTATTTTAATTCATCATTATATTATATTTACATAACTGCAATAAATTAAGATTTTAACGCTTCTTCCAAGTAAACTTCCTTCTAGCTCTTGCTTGACCAGGCTTTTTCCTTTCTCTTCTCCTATAGTCTTTTTGCAATAGACCAGCTTGAAAAAAAAAACACAAATATTGGATAAACTAATAAAAACGCTTTCTATAACAAAGAAATATATTTACCAATACGCATGCGTTCTACTGTTTCAGGGTCCACAAAAGAACGCAAACTCCAAGAAATACCGAAACGAATTGCACCAGCTTTACCTGAAACTCCTCCACCCCTGACTGTTGCATGAATATCGACTTTGTCAACCATATCCGTAAATAATAACGGGAATAGTATCTAAAAAACATAACACAAATAATTTTATATTTATACATGCAATACTATAAGAGTAGTTATATTATAATTATTTATACAGATTATTCAAAGTTTAAGTGTTTAAAAATTGTCACATATTTTAAAGTTACACAATTGGGAAGTTAAAATTCAGTTCCAACAAAATTATCTTCTTATTCAATTTAAAATTAATATTTTGATCTTTTCTATAAGTATTAAGAAAAAAATGAACCTAGCAGAGTGATATAACATATATGAATGTTCTGCGTTCCTATACATACCAGGAAAAGGCATCTAATAAAATAAATAATAGATGAGAAAATTCCTAACCGGATAAGAAAACGAGACATGGATATTTAAATATTTCTACATTGGAATATACAGGAGGATTCACTATATTATATACACTTATTTATTGTCAAACCAAGAATTACCGTTAAAATTGCGATTAAAGAAGTTCTAATTTGAAAAAAAGAAAATTTTAACAACACAGTAGGTACTCTCGTAAACTTTCATAAAAATCTAAGTATTTGAAAATATGATTTTTAAATAAAAGTAAATTTATTTAAAATTTTCAAAAATCTAAATTTAAATAAATGTATTATTATAAGAAAAAATATGGCGAGCATACTGTATATTTATACTAAACGTGATAATAATTCGTGTTGTAGAATCCATAAATTAAAAAAACCCTTTCTTATAGACTACTTAACTCTTGTGAAAAATCACACACTATAGTAATATGTATAACAAGGTAAAATATCATACACAATATACTTATATATATATGTCACTATATTATATTATATATAGTGGCATAGTGCATTTATTGTGCAGTATTAATAATAGTAATTTCCACTCGTAAAATAACCTTCTATTTGTTTCATAATAATAATAATAATAATAATAATAATAATTAATAATTAATAATTTTCATAATAGAAAATCTTACTGAATCTGAAGTCAATACCTAAGAACCGTATGAATAGAAACGATAGTGGTATAAATATCTTGAATTAAATCTAAGTATTTTGAAAATTTATTAGTACATAGACAATGATAATTTAGGTAATATAGGATAAATATTTTTTGAATTAAAATAAAATAACAAAAATCACTATATGAAGAAAATAAAGGAAAAATTGTTATTTCACAATTGAACATTAAATTTTGAATTTAAGACGACGCTTATAAAAAAAAATGTGGATTCGCGATTTAAAAAAAAAATATAGTAAGCATATCTTATGGAAAATCTTTTATCAAATGTTGGAGCCTTAAACACAAAAATTAAGAATATCATGGATATAAATAACGATATCATTTGCAAATTTTCTAAACGAACAGTGTTATGAGAACAGAATGCAAATGTAACCGGAAACTTCATAATACACAAAATACAAGTATTGAATGATAAACAATAGTAATAATCATTAATCACAAGACAATAATATACACAACCTCTATATTTCAATGTAATTTCCGGAGGACACATTTTCGAATGATTCTCAGATGTTTGTAAAATAAAAGGGTAACAAAATACTGACAAATCCTCTGRTATAAATTATGTAGTAATATTTATTTACTTATAATATGTTAAGGTTATTGCTCTTATTCGCAGTCCGTGTTATTCTTAATTTGCTATTGTGCGTATCAAATTGGACATACTATGTATTATCCATTGGTCGATTGAAACATCGCACACATTTTATTTTATTTTTAATTTTAATTATTAATCATAGTTTTATATCTCTGTGTGACTGCGTGAGTCAAAGAGTAAGTACGCGGTTGAAATCAACGATTAATCCGGAGAATGCTGGTTGGTAAAATCAAGAATATCGATAAGTTGCCGAGTACGAGGGGATTCGTTCATCAACGTTTACATGAACCGTATAATAAGCGTTGAATAGAAATAGCAAACCTTGACTTTGATAGTTAAAAAACAAACGGGCTTGCGTGAAAGGAATATATTTCTATGTTATAGAATATAATATAATACAGCAACGTTATACAGAAGAACATAATCGTGCGGATATTTTTTTTTATAATAATAATAATAATAATAATATAATATTTACAAACGTCAAACCGTGCACAGTCGCGTATAGTTGGTACATTATGAAATATTATGTACCTACTACCTACTTAACGTATAAAGTGTTAAACCCTATTTTACCTATAACGGCGCCCATCGTTATGCGTACGTCGTACAGTGTCATGCATAAATACGATATTTTAATTATTGCTTGAATTTTATACTTTGCGTATACCTTATACATACGTAAATGAAACAATGGTAAAATTATTTAATTTTCGTATAAGAAACATTTTAATATTTTATATTAATAGTATAGGTGCCTACTTAAATAACATTAAAAATTATTAAAAATTACATATTATAGACATCAAGACATCATTTCTCAAGCAAATTGAAATGTATTATAACATTGAACATTGAACAGAAATAAAATTACAAGAAAACGAATAATTTGCAGGTGTTCTGTAAAGATTTATATGTATACGCAACTTCCAGACAAATACTAATAAATTAAAACCAATGGTAGAAAAATAACAATATTAACAAACATACCCGAATCAAATTACTTGTGTCGTTTTTTACGTATCAAAAAATAAAAAATGAAAATAAAATATATACATATCATCGTACAACATAATTCAATAGGTATACTAACAGGCTACATCATATGTAGAATACCATTTGATACAATTATATTATGTAAAATAAAATGGAAACAAAAATGATATGACGTACCTATATTTTATTATACTCTAGCAGCGGAGACGCAGTCACGGTGCAGGATTCGCACGTTACCAGTCACCGCCGCCGCGTGCGCGTTATAATATTATATTAATTCGGTATTATAATAACGATAATACTAATAATAAAAACAACGATGAATAATAATAATATATCAAACGAAACGGAGCGGAGCGGCTGGCGCGCGCGTGTGTCTGGCCATCGAGAAGGGGTAGGTGGTATTAGAGGGAGATACGATCGCGTACTTATATAGTTCCGATAGCGGCCACGCTGTTGGCGTCCGTAGCACCGCGAGGCCACCGACCGCGTATAATATTATCATACTACCGACGCACCGGACATTGGCGAGCGAATCGTCGAAGGAGCCGAACGACGCGCGCGGGAACCCGGTGCAGCACTGCGAGACATTACACACACGAAACGACCGTCAGGCCAGTCTTCCGACATCCGGTTTTCAATATTGTTTATTGTTCCGCACCATTCAACGTGCACCGTCACCATGACCGGCAAACATCACCTGGAAGTGGCAGTGCCACTGGACAGGACCATCAGCTTAAACGTGCACAACCGGCAGGGTAGTGCGGCCGTGGCGTCCCGGTCACCGTCGTCGCTCAAGGACCGGTGGTACAGCTTCCGGCACCGACCGAGTGGCGGCGGCGGCGGCGGTGACCAGCGGCGACGGTCCAACGTCGAGGAGTTTCTGTTCATGGAGAGCCTTCCAGACGCGTTGGCGGCCAATGAGCCGCAGTCAGTGACCGGACAGGAGATCGAACTGTCCATAACCATACGGAAGGACACAATTAGGCGCGACCTGATGGACTCGATGCGCATGTGCAACGGGCGGTTGCAGCTCATGGAACTCCTGGAGCTCGACAAATTCGACCCGGGTGGCGTGCACCCACCACCCAACCAGAGCGAGTTGGACAGGCTGCTCTGCTGGGCCGTTTACATCGGTGCGCCGACCGAATGCCTGGACACGCTGCACGAGTGCGGCGCCAACTTGCACTATTCGCACTGCGGTAACATAACGGCCGTACATTTGGCTGCCTTCATGGGTAACGCCGAAGCGCTAAGGTACGCGATATTTTAATCATAACCCCGTCAATATAAGTTACGAGTTAGTTATTATTTTCCACTAATGGCTCTAGGTAGTGTATAATTTTATATATTATAGGAGACGCCTTTGTTTTCACCCTAACATAGTTCCCATTCAAAAAAGGGATTTAGTTTTTGCCAGCATAGAAGTATAATATATATAGATAGCAGGTATACCTGTAAATTGTAATTTGTTTTAAACTATATAAACAATTTGGTTTTCACAGATTCCACTAGTCTTACTAATAAGCACTTTTTTATAATTTAACATTTATTAAATTAACAAAATATACATTTAGGTACATAACTTAAAACTTTTTCTTGTTTATGAAAGAAAATCAAGTATATGTAAGACATATAAAACTATTTTTTTCATACAATTAATACCATTGTAATTTTATTGGCACTAACTACTACAGCAATTTAGTTAATTTGCCAAAATGAGGATACCTACATGGATTTTATGGTTCCTATATCGAGGTTATAGATGACGAGGTTTATATTGTGCGATTTTAAATTAGTTAAATTCTTGTTCCTTCAATACTTTGAAAAAATGTAGACATCATAGAATTTATCCTCTAATGATTTTATTTATTTTTACGCAATTTTAATAATATTAACAGTAAATAGGGATTTGAAACTTTTTTCATGGCGTATTTTATATTTATCAATACGTAATAAAATTTTTAAATATTTAAACTATTTATACCACGAATATATTCAGTTCATTTGTAAGGTATATCGGTACACCGACTTACAAGTCATACCTAAGTCCAGAAAAATATGAACTCGATAATGTTGTTAGCAACTAGTTCCAGTCAAATTATCTACTTATAATAAGATAAATTTATCATAAGATATCCTTAAAAAAGAGGCTGATAAATTATCTCCGATAAGAATTATTTTCTTGCAAAAAGATTCGTTTAATTCAAAATTGACACATCCATTAGTGACCTACTCAAAGACGAGATATCACTCAAAACCTATTATACAACAAAACGAGTTACCGTTTTAAAAAAGTTTTTAATCTAAGTATGCTATTCATTTTTATCCGTTAAAATATAAATGAGATAACCGATCAATTATAGAAAAGATATTCAAAAAATGTGTTCATGAAGACATTGTGTATTTATGCACAATGCACGCAAATAAATATTTTACTTGTATGTATCAGCATTCTGTAGTACGGGGTTGCCATTCCTCTCGATTTCGGAGGAATACTATCAGTTATCAGCACAAAATCTTAGTATCTTTTAAATCTCAATTAGGGCGGGATATAATACTGAAAATTAGTTGCATATACCTATTAATTGTTGTATACCGGGCGTGCCTAAAAATATGATAAAAAAAAAAAAAAAAACAGAAAAACAATGATTCAGTTATTTCAAATCTGAGCTAATTTACGAATATAATTTGAAAAATTGAAAAATCATGTTCATTGTATAATTATCGTGATTAATGTATAACATAAATAACCATCCAAAAAATTATCGTTTACCAAGAGAGGAGGAAGGATTGTATGAGTTCAGAAATATAAATACAAAAAAAATATATTTCTAATGAAAAAAAAATGTGTATGTTAGATAAAAAAACAATGAAGATGAATGAATGAACAATGAATCACACACCAAAAAATATATATATATATAACCTTTGTTTTTTAAACATTTTGCCAATGTATAAGTATTCCCTAACAAAATATAACTTACGTACCATGACCAAAACTTTATGAATTCTAATTTATTAGACAGGTGTTTAAAAACCCGCTTGTCAATTATCTTTAGTAACATACACAGCAACCCCTGCCTATATATTATATTATAATCCATAATATAATTTTATCATTATTATATTTTAAACATCAGTATACTATGTTAATGTACAACTTAGATGAGGTATTAGTCATAAACATATTTTTTTTAAATTTAAAAACAACTAATAAATTCCTAGAATGAATACAACTTTTTAATACCAACATCTAATGGTCAGTGAGCTTCTTCCTCTTGAATACTCCTATAAAAGAATTGTCTCACAGACCAATAACAAATTGCTGAACTCAAAACTTAAAATTAGTATTTAATTAAAATATTAAAAAATTAAAAAATGTTTTTATTTTATCAGTGTCTATAAATTTAAAAAATATTTTACTTACAGGTGGCTAATAAAAAAAAAATGTGACATGGACACAATTCAAAGTGGGTATACGCCTTTACATTCAGCTGTTATGGGCAATGCTTTAGAAACAACAAAAATTCTGATAGACCAGAGATGTAAAGTAACTGACACAGTATTGCATTGTGCAGTGCAAGCCAATTCTGTAGAATGTGTCAAGTACCTACTAAACATCGGTACTGATCCCAACTCTTTGGATACAAACGGGAATACACCCCTACATTTAGCAGCAGACAAAGGATATACAGAATGTCTAAAACTCCTTTTAGCGAAAAGTACTAAAACAATAAATTTAAATTCTAAATCTAGGCAATCGACCGCTTTGCATATGGCAGCTGAAAATGGATATACAGAATGTGTTCAAATACTACTCCACACAGGGTCTAGTCATAGTGCAGTAAATTATAAGAATCAAACTGCTTTACATCTAGCTGCTAAAGCTCAATGTGCTGAATCTGTGGTTATATTATTAGAATTAGGAGCCGAAGTGAATGCTTTAGATATTGACAAAAGAACACCTTTGCATTCCGCTGTTTGTAAAGCTTATTTATCATTCCATGTGGTTGAAGTATTAGTAAAATGGGGTGCAAATGTCAATATTAAAGATAGATATGGCTACGCTCCTCTTCACATAGCTGCTTTAAATGAATTATCCCAATGTGTTGATTTTTTAATCATAAAAGGAGCAGACATAAGTTCTAAAACGATAGGTGGGATGAGTGCTTTAAGCATAATAAACAGAAAAACACCAACAAGTATAAATACAATTAAAAAAAAATTTGATCAAGCGATTACATTAAATGACCAAGCTTCAGCAAAAGAAGTTGAACTAATAATGGATTTTCGATACTTATTACAAAATCCTAGTCAAGGGGAAATCATTTTATTACACACATTGGAAGAATGTGGTCAAAAGTCTATGCTTGAACATCCATTATGTAAAGCATTTCTGTACTTAAAATGGCAAAAAATTCGTCGATTTTATTTTGTACGTTTAGTATTTGATGCAATTTTTGTTTTACTCTTAACCACTTATGTAATGACAGCTTTAGCACATGATTGTTATAATAAGTCAAAAAACCTAACTGACAAACAAAAAATAACTCATAGACAAGAACTAAACGAATCAGAGACTCAAAATGCGTGTCGTTTAAATGTAAATGTATTCGATTCACAATTAATATCACACATAATTATAGAATTTGTTTGGTATATATTGTTGATATTTACAATCATCATAATAATCAGAAAATTAATTGGCACAACAGGATTTACTTCAGTCAAACAATATTTTTTAAACATCACTAACATTGTTGAGTGGTTTGTGGTTGCTAGTGTTTTTTTAACATCCTTTTTATATGGAAATAAAACGTATGACTGGCAAAACCCTATAGGAGCATTTGCTGTTTTGTTTGGATGGTCAAATCTAATGGTGATGATTGGCCAGTTACCTATATTTGGAACATACATTGCTATGTTTACCAAAGTTCAAAAGGAATTTGCTAAATTGTTGCTAGCTTACTCATGTTTACTTATAGGATTTACAATAAGCTTTTGCACATTATTCCCTACATCAGATGACTTCAACAATCCCTTAATAGGTATAGCAAAAGTTTTAGTAATGATGACAGGAGAACTTGATATAGATTTGTTATTGAAATCTGAAGACTCTCCAATCATTTTTAACATAAGTGCATATATAACTTTCATACTGTTTATTGTATTTGTTACCGTAGTGTTGATGAACTTATTAGTCGGAATAGCAGTTCACGATATCCAAGGTTTGCACAAAACTGCAGATCTCTCAAAACTTGTCAGACAAACTCAGCTAATTCACTCTCAAGAACAAGCATTATTTCAAGGTTGTTTACCTAGACGTGTTATAAATTTTTTTAATTGGAGCGCAAGAGTTACACCATCAGCGTATCGGGTAGTACTTTATGTAAAACCATTAAATCCTACAGAAAAAAGATTACCAAAATATATTATGGAAGATGCATTGAATATAGCGAGACAACAACGATTAAATACAGTTGACTATAAACAAGCTATGTTAGAAAATAAAATGGAAAACAAAGCTTTAGTTGAAGAAATTAAACAACTCAAAGAAATAGTACAAAATCAACAAGATCTCTTATTAAAGCTTATTAATAAATCTTCATAAAAATATTCCTAGTCTTAATTTGTATTTGTTATGTAATTTAAATATTATATGAACTATGTTACATTTAAATATTATGTATTGATATTATGTTGATAAAGATATTTGAAAATATTACTTCATTATAATGTTGAAAGGTAAAATGATCTTGTTATATTTGTTTTGATAAATTACCTAATGATAAACTTTGACGTGATTTTTAAAAAAATAATAGGAGTATTTTGATATATTAGGGTCATATTTTTATTTTCCTATGACGTTTTTCCTTAATTCAAAATAATCCAATAATATATGGGTAAAATGAAGTAATATTGATTTGATAATAAAATAATGTAATACATAAATAAAATAACTTTTACTGTTTTAAGTTTTCCTTCATTAGTTAATACACGATTGTATCTCATTAACAATGTTTAAAATACAAATATTAATTATCTAAACTATATTCTAAGCATGCACACATCAACAATTTCCGTTCACTAAGGACACATTTCAAACTTATAAATACCACATTGTGAATTTAATTTCTTAGAATTTGACGTTGATATATTTTTGTTTATAAAGTTAATATAAACAAATAATAAGCCAGATCTTAGATTTATAGAATTTTTAACTATAAGCAATGTGTTTTTGATTACTGGTAAATAAACTAATTTCAAACACCCGGTGGTTCTTAAAAACAAATAAAATGTTTATTATTTATCCAATTAAATATACATATGTGTGTATATGTATATTTATATTTGTACTTTTATAAATAGGAAATTAATGTTCAAGAAAAATGTTTGAGTTGTATCTAAATGCTAAAAATATAATTAATGAAAATAAATTAAATAAGCTATACTTATAAAGAATAAATATCTACTTAAAACTCAATGAAAATGTTTATTGATTAGTAGATTAAACTTGTTCCGTGTTTTAACTTATAGAAAATCAAAATTAAGAATATTTTTTCTTATTATTATAAAGTGTTCCTGACATACAAGGTCATCAAACTTATTGATAAGATAATAGGAAACTTAACATTTAGAATTTGTAAGTGTAATTAATTAAAATATTTACAACAAAATCAAATATAAATTATTTAAATTACTAAATATTTGATTTTCAAATAGATAATAAACAATGATAAAAAATTAACTTTAAAGTCAGGTATTTTATCATGGAATTATTGTTATTAAGTTATTAGTTTTATAACATATAAATCTAAATACATAAGCATATTTTTAAGAAGTCCTACTACCATTATGTATTATTTATTATTAATTAACTAAAAATAAATTAGGTATCTTCTATATATTTTTATATTATCTCCTTTTTGTAATTAAATTTAATATAAATATATATAAATTACTTAAATTTAATTGGATGTATGCAAATGCATGACACAATACCTAACTAATAGTCAAAATATGAATGATTTTATTATATTATTTTATTTAATTTACCTGTTCCCGGGCTTGTATATCATCGAAGAATTCAATTCCTTTTCCATTTATTGACAGCTTGCCTGTTCCTGGATAATAAACTGTGACATCAGCTCTAGCATCTTTTCTAGGGCAATCTAAGAATAAAAATTAAACTTTTTAATGATTCCGCTACACAATATTAGTCAATTCTGAATTCATTACCTTTAACAGTAACAAAAGCCCTCCCATCTTTTGTRTATTCAACCTTAAAATTTGTTTAAACAATTATTAAATAAGTTTAAAGAATATAATAAATAAGATATTGTAATTACAGGCACTGATTCAATAATAGCCTTAGTAGATATCATTGGTTTTTGATAATCAGAAATAAATTCCCCAGACTGGTATGAACATGGATGTTTTAACAAACGCTCAATTGCAATTACAAAATTTTTGTACTAGAACAGATAGTAAATATATACAAATGCACAAAGTATAATTATAAATAAAAGTATATATTTTTTAAAGCAAACACACATGTTAAAATGTTGGATTTATGCATACAATCAACTACTACACCTTTTTAACATATTATTAAAAAAATCTCAACAGTGATGGTTAACCTTGATTGAAAGATGTGATTGCATACTTTTAAACATATAGTAGAGGTGTGATAGACATCAACTTATAATAACTATTAAGTAAATTAACTCCAGAGTAGTGTTTAGAATACGAATTTTAAAATAGGTAACTTTGGAAAACATTTAACAAATCATAATGGTAGGTTTCATTATTTGACATACAACGTGAAATTAGATTTGTATCTATTTGTAAAATAGAACCCATTAGAAATATACATAAAAATTTTCATGAACATTTTAAGACAATTATAGTACGTAACTGCTGACTCTCATTTTTATATTAACTGACAACAAGTTAATTATTTATTATTAATTTGATGGTTTGATTATGTTAATCACCCATTTAGTGATAAACTAGGCGATCACATTCGTAATATAGCAAAATAAAAGTAATTTATTGTAGATATTTGAAAGTACTCTAGAAACTAAATATTGGTTTGTAACATAAATTATTTGGAACTTTTCCATTATTTTAACTACCACCTAATGCAGCGACTACTGTGAATCTCAATTCTGTAGTTTTTACTTTAAAGTTCTGTCACACAATACATGTGAATTGTAATTTATATAAGTATAATGTATATTAGTATAACTACAAAATAAATAGAAGAAAATCAAAATGTATTTTGCATGGGTTCTGAACTTCCTTATGAGAGTTACTAAAAACTTCTGACACACTATATTTTGAACAGAATTCTCCAGAGTAGCCTTATTCTGAGATATTTTTATTTTTTCATTATAATTGGCGACCAATTTTTGGAAATATTCTTCAATAATTTATATTCTCATTCAGATAAACTCTGCCAGATAGGAATCTAAATGAATAAATGATGGCGACTGGTTTTTCTATATTATATTTTTTATTTCTTCATTTAGTGGAGCCCTAAAGTTAGATACAACTAAACTAGCTTTTAACAGTGTAGATGGCAGCAACAACAGAATTTTTGATTGGCAGTAATCTGAATAACAGAAAAGTACTAATTATTTATGTATTATATTACTTCGTGATCAGATAGTTTTTCAACGGTTAATTTTTCCAAATCTTCTTTAGATAGCCATTGACTTCCTAATGATGTACTATAAACAAACAAAATATATTTTTAAAACTAATTCCAACCTTAAAAGTACATGATATATAATTTGACTTACAGTTTTTTATCAGGATCTGGAAGTATATTGTTTTTTCTCAAACTATCTTCAAACTTATTTAATTCTGACAATTTAGTAGMAATATTCTACGAAATAAGAAAAATAATTTTATTTTATTTTTATTTTTTGTTTATTCTTCAGGAAGATAATATATATTATAATTATAAATGATACCTCTTTTGTCTTACACATTTTATTAGTTTATTAATAAAGATATTTAGCGTCTATTGATATATTTTTATATAAATATGAAACGATAATTATGCTTCAACATCATATCATTGCTCAGATTTATGTTGAATATATCAAGTTTTTTATTTTACAGAACAAATTTTTAAATAACTTTTTTTTAGTATTAATTTTAATGTAAATTTTGCTGACAAATATTAAAATGTAGGTAAGTATATTTAAAAATTAGTTATGTGCCTTACATGTAAAATTAGGTAAAAATTTGGTTTTCCAGTATAAAAAAATACATGAAATGGACGTCCAGACTCATCAAACTCAGCATCTTTTTTTGGTGGAAATACTTCACTTGGGGGTTTCATTAAAGGTCTTGCTTTTGGATCATATAAACCAGAAGGAAACAAATAATCGATAGCAACCTAAAATGCAAAAACAAAATAAATACAATTGATTGATACAACTATTTTAAATAATAAAATTATTTTTCAAATATATAATTAAACAATTTTATTTATCTATTTTAAAAGAATGCTTTTATTTTAATTATTAGGGAGGGGTGGGGTGGTAAAAATAGTGTAATGTATGTAAATAATATTGAAAACAAATAATGAAAAAGCAACATAAAAAAATGGCACACATAAAAATGATTTTCAAAATGCAGAATGTAATAATTTTGATTTTTCATAGTTACCAGATGATAGTAAACTAATAAGTTACTTGAAATTCTGATCTAAAATCATATGTGATAACAAATATTGTAATTTTTTAAACCAGGACATATGTATAAGGGGACACACACTGAGTCCTGAGGTCTAAAATCCCTGATGTGTTAGGATATGTTACTTCACAGTGTGTCTAGATGAACTTAATGGTATATATTGAATATGCAAAAATAAAAATAGCATAATACAAAATTTTAGAATAAACATTTTAAAATTATATATGTATGACTTTTTGCTCCTTTACATTCATTTATCTAAGCTGGAAAAATTATTTTAAAAATTTTATATTTATTTTCAAGTATCTATTATTTTAATAATTTTTCAATTATTTATACCATTATTATAAAAATATAAAATTACAATTTTTTTTAAATATATTACAAAATTTATCTATTGTATACCATCAATAGTACAATAAATTAAATTAAAAAAAAGGTTATAAAATATTGATAATTTTCTAAGCCAATTTTTTTCAAACTTAAAATTACCTAAATGAAAATATGAAATAGCACTATGTGTAAGTCAACAATTTCATCAAGAAATTATGGCACATAATTGTTTTTATATTGTAGCACTTTAATCAACCACCCCCCACCCCTTTATTTTTCACGGTTTTTAAGATTATTTAATTTTAGATTAAGATATAAATTATACTAATTTTGAATAAAGAATCACATGTCTACTAATCTTAAATATATTTAACAGACATTAGATAAAAATTAACTACATATTTCATAAGTATTATATTGTAAATAAAATAAAACAATTAACTAACGTCAATATCTGCTTGTGTAAATGTTTCTGGATCAACGCCCATCATATTAGCTAAATGACGTTTTCCAACATTGTATTCATGTGTTTGCTGTTCCATAAAGTTATCTGAAATATTCAATTGCAATAATTCATCTCATGCTACAGTCAACAAAAATTATACCAAGAATAATGCTTAAAAATAAATAGTTTTTCAACATTTTTGGATTAGCAAAAATACAATATTTTATTTTAAAGACTTCAAAAATAAGGTCCTTAAGTATAATTAAAAATTATAAAAATCAGAGTCTCAATACCTAACTAAATCTAATAATTTAATAAAAAAAGGATGAGTATGCTTCACAAATCAAGCATTAAATTACTGTAAAATCGTACAAATATAGCATAATTTTACAACTTTAATAGTAAGTTGTTGTGTTGAGTTCAAGCCATTATATATTAAGTAGTACTGTTTTCAATATTAAACATAAAAAAAAAATTATTATTATTTGGAGAAAAAATTAAAAAATAATTTTTTATCAATATTAATCAGTTGTTAAAAAAAAAAAATAATATTAATATTATGAATATTTTTTTCTTTTTTCTTGAAAAATCAGTTATTTTATACTATTACTCTTTTGTAATAGTTTCATTAATATTACTTACTGTATTGTGTAGCTCTTTGAAGATATGCTCTCATAGCTAAACTAGTTTTTTCTTCTACAATTTTCTTTTCAATAATTTCAACATCTGGGTCATCACTCCCAACATTGTTTAAACCATATGTACATCTAGGTACCTAAAATATAAACGTAGTTAACAGTATAAACAATTATTTTTATTGAACAGTGACAATATTGTCTAACAATAATTAGATGACCATAAATTTACAAATACATACATATATATTGCCATGTAAAAAGTGTTCAAGTTAACATTTTTATACTTTTAAATTAGTATAACTAGAGAAAAAAAATATAATAATTTTCATTTGATCACTTGTGCATGATGGTTGCAATAAGATTTATGTAGAATTTTTTACAAAAAAACTAGTAGTATATTTTTAAAATAATTTGATCACTTACAAAATTTGATAGTATTTTTGGAGTATTTAATTTGCTTATGGCTAGATTATTAAATAAACGTTGTAATGCCATCATGTTAAGATCGTACTCAATAATTATCTCTATTACTAAATTAGACTAATTATTGACGTAAGAAAGACACATAATGAAAAATTTAAAATTAAATACATTAGAAGTAATGTATTAATGTATTAATCAACAGATGAAGCTAAACCCACTAAAATTAAAATAATAAATTCTAAAAAAATTCCATATGTAGTATTGTAATTGTAGTGTGATTTGTCGGAAGGCCGAAGTCTTATCAATTTTTATAAATTTATGTTGATAACGTAATCACCTGGTAACGTTCCCGTCTTACTAGATTGCCTTGGTTATTCTTACCACAGAACCACAGACTTGTGCACAGAACTGACTACTCTTTATGTGGATGGTGGATCCCCTGTGGCATAGAACAGTGGTATGTGGTTAACTTGTTAACTTGTGGTATACCAAGGGTTTCCACCCCCTCCCGACAACAAAAACTTTTTATATTGGTATTTTATCTTCTGTGATACCCCACGGTTTAAGATTGTGGTTGAGCTTATGGGAATATACTTATTGCTACTTTAAGCAACTTTTAAAGACTAGGATAAATATGTTTTTCTATCTCTTTGCTAATATCATTAATATCAAAATCAAGTATTATGGTAATCATGCAGTTTCTTGCTACAGTCATTTCTGATTTTATAGCATGAATATCTATCATTAAAACATCCTAAAACAATAGAAATTACAATACATTTATTGAGAAAAAAATTGTATTAAAAAATACATTATATTATTTATAAAATATGAACTTTCAACAAAATCCATTTTAATAAAACATTCAACAGACAGTGTCGGCCTAGTAGTACTTAAAGGGCCCCGGATGCATTTCTTCAGAAGGGCCCCCAGCATGTTATTAAATAAAAATGATAAAAAATGCTTATAAGTAGTGAAATATTATATTTTTAGTAATATCAGGGCCCCTCGACACAAATACGGCCGGGGGCCCCGGATGCGTTCGCGGCCATGGCCAGGCCGAGGCCGACACTGTCAACAGAGCATGCCATGAGTAAACCGAGTTTACTAAACTCTCTTTGAAAAATCTATTCCTATTTAAAGTTTCTTACAACAGAATCAATTAGCTGATAGAGCTACGGACGAAAATACACTCATGTGGAAAAACCATTTTCTATAGTTAAGATGACGCCACACCCGCATGTGTTTTCTTCGTCGTACAAGTGCGTAGCATAGCAAATTTTACGCTCAGCAAATCTCGTTTATCTCCTTCAATTTAAAATTTAGAGTGAATTGACCTATTATAAAAATTAAAGGCAAGATTATTACCGAGGGCATCTCATAGGCTTTTTATTATATTTTAATTTTAAAGCGAATAATGAGTATTTTAAAATTTAAAATTATTTTTATATCTAAAAATACTCATAACTCGGTTTAAAATTAAAATATAATAAAAAGCGTATGAGATGCCCTCGGTCATAATCTTGCCTTTAATTTTTATAATAGGTCAATTCACTCTAAATTTTAAATAAACGGAGATAAACGTGATCTGCTGAGCGTAAAATGCTACGCACTTGTATGGCGGAGACAACACATGCGGGTGTGGCGTCCTCTTAATAAAAAATAACTGAATATTGAATAACAAATARTTTTCAATGATATTATATATAGATAGATAATTAAATTTCATAAATATTTTATCACAAAAATCACAAAATCCTGAGATTCAATATTTTTTTTTATCAGAGGGGGCTATAAAAATATTTAGGGGGGCTAAGGATGGAACATTTAAAATCACGATTCTCATAAATATTTCTTACTGTTGTAACCAAACAATTTAAAAAATAAACAAATACAGTTTTTTTATACTAACATTCAATTTTGAAAGAAATTTCTTTTTAAAACTAAGAATAATGGTTAGTTATTTTGAGGTAATAAAAAAATTTTATTCGTGGGTGCATGTAACTTTTATAGTTTATTATTTCATACTTTATACAGCCATTGAAATTTCCAAATGTAATTTTGTGACAATATCTATGATTTAACTTAATTTTATGCTGATCCCAAATAGTAAAATAGTAATATTTGAGGCTAAAAGACCATCTCCACTCAAAATTGTTTTACAATTCTATAAATTATTTCTAAAAAGAAATATATTAAAATAATATTATTAAGCCCCTCCAAGCCCCCCTAGTTGCACCTATGCTAGGAATTGCTTCGTCATAAAATTTTGTAGAAGAAATAATATTTTTATTTTCTGTAGTATAATATTGCTGTCATGGCTAAATACTCAGGTGACAGGTATGACAGCAACTTGGATCATATTATCATAGTAAATGATCTAAGAATCTAAGATCGTCGCTCAACCATTCTATCTTAAACCGTGGTCTAGATCACTGATATCACTAGTATCACTCCAAAATAATTGTGCTATCAAAATCTAAATGTGGTGATCACGAATTAAGATCGCCACTGCGATTAAAATGTTGATATTTTTAAATTTTTAATGAATGAAAAAGTTTTTAAGTTCGTCAATATTCAATTTTGGTTTTTAGTTTTATGAAACTAAAATTTTTCATAGGATCTTTTTCTATTCTGTCAGATGAAAAATAAAATTTTAAAATAAGTAAACAATTCGTTCTGACATAGAAAGATCATAGTTGTATAATATCTTAAATAATTCTTATAACCAAAATTTTTAATATCTTTAAATAGATACCTATCTTAATAACACATTGCAATTTAATTTCAATTACTATTATTTTAGTTAAATACCTAATAAACAAAAATGTCACAAGGTTATAGTGAAGATTATAAAACGAAAAAATCTCCAGTAAAAAAGGTAGATACAATGTTTAATATATTATACAATATTTTTATACTAAATATTAATATTCAATAATTATATAAATAATTCAATTAGATAAAAGATGATCGTAAACAATTTGGTTCCAAACGATTGCCAATAGTTTTGGCCAAACGTGATGGGTCTATCGAACGAATTCAAGAGCATGAAAAGTGTCATTCTCAACCAACAATATTAATAAAACATCGAGATACGGAAAATAGATCTTTGTCACCTACTCAGAAGTGTATTCCTCAAACTATGTAAATATTGTTATTTATCATATTTTATTTGTCCTATACACCATCGATGGTGTATCCTATTATTGAGTTTTTATTTTTCATCATATTTTTTCACTGCATTTGCTTTGATCAACATCTATGATTGCTATAAGTAGAGCTAAAATGGCTTAAAATTATTCCACATTATTTACCAACAGGATAGTTAACCATGTAAATTATAGTGCTGCCTAATTAACTGATCTGCTGATTTACTGATTAGGGGCAAACAAAGTTCAAATGGGGTAAAACTGGTAAAACTCCAAAAGCGCCATTATAATACCCCTTTACACGCCACCGTTCAGAAAAACTGCTGATTTGGCCTTACATCTTTTTTTCCACATATTTTTTGAAGCAAGTTTCAAGTGTTTTAAGATATACAAAAATTTAAAAATTTAAACTACTTATAACTCGCTTTAAAATTAAACTATACTAAAAAGCCCATGAGGTCATCAGAATAATTTTACACTCAGCAGATCATGCTTTGCTCCGTTAGTTTAAAAGTTAGAGTGAATTGACCTCTCATAAAATTTAAAAGTTAGAATATTATTTCGACAACCTCGTGGGCTTTTTACTATATTTTAATTTTAAAGCGAGATAAGTATTTTAAATTTGAAAATTTTTTGTACATCTTAAAACACTTGTAACTCACTTTAAAAATATGTGGAATAAAAAGGTGTATAAGCAAATCAACAGTTTTTCTGAACAGTGGTGTGTGATTTTACTGATTTGAATATTCGAATAAATTAGTGATTACCTATTATAATGGCGCTTTTAGAGTTTCACCTCATTCGGACTTTGTTTACCAACGCTATGGCCCCTTATCAGTAAATTAGATCGACCCGTAAATGATATAGTCAACACATCTTGGAATTTTTTGTTACACTGGTTTTCCTAGTAAATTCTTAACAATTTTAAATTTTAAGCACATCAGGGTTAGGTGATTAAAACTTAAATTAACTATCAATTTTTTTTTTCTAACCATTTATGTCCTTTTTTAATATTTTAGTATTAAAAAGGAAGAACCTTATCAGCCATGCTTACAAAAATCAGGAAATGAAGGTAAATTATTTACATTGCTTTTAAATGACTAAATAATAATCAACTGTTTTTAGAACAAGTACAACCTCTGACGGAAATGAAAACTCCAATTAAAGTGATTGATGATTATATGCAATTTATCAGTGAAGGTTTAAGCAATTGTTTACTGGATCAGACGGATTTCTTAGTTATTGGCTGTCTGGGCTTACAAGGTGTTGGAAAATCTACACTTATGTCTGATATTGCAAACAAGTAATTTTAAATCCATTTTATTGATTTTTACTTAATTATTTAAAAATATGTGAATGCTCATTTTATTTTAATTTTCAGGCCAAATTTGTTTGCTAGTTCTACATCTGAATATTTAGAAACTACACAAAATTGTACTGCTGGTATTGATGCATATATAACTAAAAATAGAATTATTTTACTGGATTGTCAGCCAATATTATCATCATCCATAGCCTATTCAGCTAGTCACAAGCGAATGGGTCAATCTATAGATCCATCAGGTTTACTAGTTGATAATGAAATGATTTCCTTGCAGTTAGCTGCATTTTTATTATCAGTGTGTCATATAGTGTTATTGGTGCAAGATTGGTTTTTCGATCCCAATATATTTAAGTAAGTTAGTTATTTAATTAGTTGTTTGTTAAAATAAATATTTCATTATATCTAGAATATTGCAAACAGCAGAAATGTTAAAACCAGCAATGCCTACTTCCCATCGCAATGAGGAATTAGTAGAATATTTTCCTCACATTGTATTTGTGCAAAACAAATCATTTTACTCCGATTTCAGTATTGAACATATTAAAACAGTGCAAGTATGAATTAAATACTTAAACGTAATTTTAAATAAGTTTTTCAAAAAAAAAAAATTTCAGCATGTTTATACACAATTATTTGCACGATCTCGCCTTCATATCCAAAGTGGAGTCAGTATTGCAAATGGCAATGTTATAAGTGAATTAAATCCATTAAACTGTGGTGAACCAATTAATTTATTTGTCTTGGCTAACAGTGAAAAGGATAATAATTCTGGTATGTGATTTAAAGATCTATATTTTATAATTTGTTTTTTTAATTTTCTGTATCTTTATTTTACATCATGAAATTTAAGTTTTTGATGTTTTAATAGATATACTGTAATTATTTTACAATGGATCTTGTACTATAAAATTGTCATTTATAAGTGTTAAGTTTATATTATTTTGTGATATATGTATAATTAAAAAGAAAATATTATGAATTAGGTTAATGTATATGATTACATTAATATTTTCTATTTAGTAATTATCGGTAATGGTTCAATGCGCAACCTACATCATAAATATAAAATATAAGTAAATTGAATTAACCTTTAAATTAATTTCATATTATCAATCAAAAGTCATCAAAACTGCTTGTCGAATTTTGACACAATATCTACCATTCTTCTTGGAGTTGTCTATTGGGAAAGAAGACTCAATTTTTTTTTATATTGTATTTGTATTTTACAGTTCTCCTAAGACCTTCAATAGAAAATGTTGAGCGGTTAACGGTTAGATGAATATATCCATGATTAGTTAATGTTGAGTATGCATTCAATTAATCGCTGAAAATTGTTGTTCCAGTCTTTATTTCATTTTTAAAAATTGGTATAATTAAGAGTTTCTATAGATCTTGTTTTTCTACGATAAAATATCAGCATTCTAATAGTGAGGCTGGTTTTTTCCAAAAAATTACACCCATGAACCTTGTATACAATTTATTTTTATTGTTTTGTACTCTATTATGATTGTGAGTAGTAGTAAACAAAAATAGTATAATTGTACATAATGGAAATTATCGCAATAAAGAAACCTGTAGATCAATTTAATCTTATTAATAGATTGGCTAATATTTATAGGTCACATATTAAACCATTATCTAGTTACCTAATAAGTATTGCATTATTTTTTAGAAAAAAATGGTTTTCACAAAATGCATCCAGGTCAATCAATTTTAATGCAAGAATTCAGAAAACAACTACTAAGCTTACCGATATCACCTCTCTCACATACCCAATTAACTGAAAAAACTTGGTAAATTTAAAAAACAGATTATGGTACATTAAAGTAACACTGACTTAAAAAATATGACTCATGATCAGGCATAAAATTCTAAGGCTGATTATTACAATGTCTGGCAACAGTTTTACAGACAGTTAGTGGGATTTTCTCTGGCAGAATTCTGCCATTCAAGTGTCCATTCACTTTAACCAGACATTGTAAGAACGGCCTAAATTATGTAAATTTTTTCTTATTGTTTTATTTACAAATATGTATAATTCAATGTATGCATACTACTCAACAACCGTGTATATATGACATGTTAATTATTAAATTTTATTGTTCAAATAAATTTGTAGATTGATTTGGTTCAGTGAAAAAGTAAAATAGAAAATATTAAACTCGTTATAATCTTCTTGCGCTATTCAGATATGTTTTTGATTGACGAAAAAATTGCTTTCAAATGAAAAAGCTTGTTAAGTCAATGTTGCAGATATTAAAAATAGTTTCAGTATATTTAAAATTAGCATTTACAATTTGATAAAAAAATGTTAATGTTTTATAACCAACGATAGAACATATTCTTCCACTTTTGATTTTTGATAATAGAATGATTCACTCTAATATTAAACATAACAATACAAAATTGTTATGTTATCCTTTAGTAACATCTCCCCTATGTCCTTTGTGTTATAAAACTGGACTCAAGATTTCCCACAGATCACTCATCTCAATTCTCTYATCAGTAATTACTCTCCTCTTCTCCGTTCTTAATTGATCCCCAAAACTTCATTATCGCCATACCTATTTTCGCAAAATTATCTCCATTGTTATATTACATTAGTTTTATCTTAGGTCTTGTATTGTATCTCACTATTTTTATTAATATACCGATATTATGTCTTTGTATCTACCTAATAACTTATATATTTTAACTCTTACATATTTATTTAAAATGTAATTGGAAATTATTTCCGTAATAAACAAACAATAAACAATAAACAATAATAATATTTAGGTAGATATTATTTATCTCGGCGTATATACAGGGTGATTTTTTTATCATGAACCACTCATTATTTCAAAAAGTATCAAWGTTTTTWAAAATWTTTTYTTACAAAGTTTCATATTGTTAAAAAAACAACGTTTTTATGAAAAAATTATATTTTTTAATATTTTTTATCCTTATAATTTTTTAAGTTTTTTTAACAACATGAAACTTTGTAAAAAAATATTTTCAAAAACATTGATACTTTTTGAAATAATGAGTGGTTCATGATAAAAAAAATCGCCCTGTATATAGCAATAGTATTATATTTAATTATTGAGCTGCAATAATTAAACTGAAAGTTAGTAATAAAAAAAAAAAAAACTTTTCTGGTAAAAATTTATTCAGTCTACTAATAGTAACATTAATAACTGATCACTTTTGTCTGATACCAATATTGTTTATTGTATACAATGATATACGATTTCATTCTAATTGATCTCACTAATTAATACAGAAAGATCCTTTCACGATTTCTTTTTCTTTTAAACTGTATTTATTATATTTACTAGACCAGTGGTTCTCAACAGGCGTGCCACAAGAAATGTCTGATATAATTACAAATTAAGCTGGTAAAAATATTGAAAACAGTACTTTATTTCACTACATTTGTGGCAGTGTGCCGTGAATCAAAAAGGTTTAAGAACCACTGTACTAGACCAACGCACTTAGGGTTGTATAAAATTGTTTTAATTCTAATTACTTCTATTTATTGATTTTATCTATACATTGATACAGAAACCAAAATTAAAATTATCACTATTAAAAAAAATTATCATTAAAACATTTATAATTTTAAGTAGCTGTAAGACAAATATTGAAAACTTTTATTTATAACAATAAAATTCGTAGATGAAATATAATTTAATTATTTGTTAACTTATGACTAAGATTTAATATTTTCACAGGTTTCACTACTGTGCCAAAGTATGGGATCTGATAAAAAAAAGTCAATTCTTTAATGAGTATAATAGACTTCAAACATAATTTTTCAATCAATTTAATATTTTAATCTAAACAGAGTAAAAATAATGACCAAAATATGTAATGTATTTAATAATTTATTACATAATAAATATTTATTATTATAGTATGTTACAAAAAATGTGTTTTCATTTAGACCTTTATAGATTTTAGCTTACGATTAAGCTCTTCAAATTTCAATACTTTTCTTATGAAGAAATCACCATAACGATGAGCCACTTTGGTATCTGCTATGTGTATCATATCACGATCAATATAGAAGTCCAACTAGAATATATAAATTTCCAGTTAATTAAGTATATATTTTTGTTTAATTAAAGATAATGATCAAACCTCAGATCCTGAATGAAAGTATCCATCTAATCCAGATGCACCTTTATTCCACACAATATTTTTCATTTTGTGTTTGAAACACAATAAATGTTTAGTCAAATTTTCTTTATCATCGGTAGGTTCACTACTTTCATGTTGACCTTGTTGTCCTTGCGCCATAAATGTCACCAATTTATTAATTGGTAAGGTGGTGTATAATTTCAAGTAACTGTAACAAGAATAATGCATATAGGTAATTAAAAGATATATTTTATATATATAAAAATAAATAATGAATTAATCAAGTTAGCATAAGAAGAACAAAAGGACTATGGTTATACCTGCGAATTGTAGGCAACATTTTTTGTTGTTTAACTTCAGCCATAAAAACAGAGGTTTGATATTTCACTGCTTCTTTAACCGAATCTTCTGCGGGGTCCATTGACAAAAATTTAGGACAAGCCAGTTGGAAACAGTTTTCAAATTCTTGTAAATCACCATATTGMATTTTGAACATCCTGTCAGTATAGTTTTTTTCACGTAATACTTGCTGGATTGATTCATCAACACATTGTGGATGTAACACTAAACACATAGCTAATAATGTGTACATCTGATCAGTCTGTTTATTAATCTAGGAATCATATAAAAATCATTAAGAAACAATACATAGTAAATTACTATAGTGAGTTTTACTTGATCATTCTGATATGTGCGAGTTTGGAAAAGCTGCTTTGTTCTTTGAATATACAACAAAATTGAACTAAATGTACGAATTGCATCAGAATAACGACGCATCATCATGTAAGCAAATCCAACATAATATGCTGTAGAAATGTGGCATGCTGGTACTGAACTATATGCGTTCTATAAATTATAAATAATTTTATTAAATAAATCTTTGTTTAAATAAATGTATAGCATTATACCTTTTTATGCATATCAATGTTTTCCAAAACTTTAATGGCTAAATAATAATCTCCAAACAGACTGTGCAAGCGCAACAGCCCTATCATAGAATAATAACCCAACATTTTATATAAAGAATGACGGCCAAATTCTCCAGCTACAGAATCAGGATCTCCTCCACTAGCGGTTACTTCCAATTGCAGTTTGATATTAGATTTATTAATAAATGAATGCAGAACATTTAAAACCAACAATACATTCCATACTTCATTATTAGAAGCAAGCATATCAATTTCTTCTTGTGATTTGCGACTACGAGACCGAAATTGAGTAAAGGATTGGAATTGATACACAAACTCATCAACAAGCTCCCATAACCATTGTTCAGGTAATTCTAATGGCACTGGAGTCTCACAAGCTGTAAATAATAATTATATTCAAATTTGTTTTAATTAATAGTTTAATAAATAGAAAAAATTAACTCACTAAAGATGTAATTGAATAGATCACAGTAATTATAAAATGATCCAAAACGTTGTTTTGTTGAAGGCCCATTAGGTACACGAGCAAAAATATGTCGGTAGTATAGTTCTTTGTACAACATCAAGAATGTCTAAAAGTAAATTTAATTTTAGGTAAAGATATAATACTTATAATTTTTATATTTTATATTACTTTATCATCGTCCATAATGGTACGGACTTCTTTATCAATAGGCCATGGAGATTTGTCAAAAAATTGATCGGATAATTTTGGAAACCTTGATGACACAAATATGTATACAAATTATAAATTTATGACATTGTATGCAAACAATATTTAAACAATAAACATACGTGTTTTCATATAAATTTTGCATTTCATACACCATTCCTTCATTAATGGCATTCCTGAAGTACAATAAAAATTTCTTGATAATATCAGGCATTTTAGGCTCGTACGGATCGGCATCGCTATATCTATCTTCATTATAATTATTATAGTAGGTATCACCTTCGTATTCAGTCTATAAATATTAACAACAAAATTGTTTTAAAAAACAGGATTAATGAAGGCTAACAATGTATTAATTTTTATAATATGTACCTGATCGTATTCCATAGCTAGAATGTTATTCAGAATTCAGATCAATAACAAACGAATACAACGCTAGGGTATGTCTACTATGTCTACGAGTAAACAATTACAAAAATGCAGAAAAGTTTCTAACAGGGAAAGTTAACAAAATTTCTAGAAAATAAGATGAGTGAATAACACCGAAGAGGCGAAGACCGTAAATACTGAATTGTCAATTGACAACATAAGACATATTCTTAACCTAAAAAAAAGAAAAAAAATTTGGGAAAAAAWCGTCATGGATGCCATGAAGCCATGAAGGTGGTGTGATATTTTCTACCATGGTTGAAAATGTTTGTGTTGTCGGTTATTTGGCTGTTACCATTGTTGATGTTTGATAAAAACTTGAATTGCTAGCAAGTACTAACAGAGCGCTGATTATTGTTAAATAATAAATATGTCGGCAATTCGGGCAATTCGGCATGTCACCGACTCACCGTAGTTACTTGACGCCTACTCCGGGTTTTGATGTTTGAAATTCTGAAGTCACTGTGTATCGATCTTACTGAGTAATGACTTAAGTATATCTCAATACTTGTAGTTTTCCCATCTCCATACTGTCGACTACCGGCTTCAACTGGCTCACTGAAGTACTTTATATTTTGGCTGCCTGGATCCAATCCTGAATTATAGTGAGTTAATTGATTATCCATTAAGGACTTATTTTTTGACTAGTTTTTATTTCCAATTATTTTTTTGGACATAAGTTATCTAATTTATAAATTCCATTTGAAAGTTCTTAGCATGGTATATTATAATGTGAAAGTTTAATATTACAAAGTCACTTGGTAAACAAAAAAATTGGTTGATTGAAGTTTTACTGTAATATCAATTTTAATAATCTTCTGGCTATAGTATGAGTTCTAAATTACAGCCATCAAGAGAGCGCTACTAGGTGATACTTAAAATTCTTCCATTCTCACTAATTCCCACTATTAAACATGCAACTAGGTGGTAGAGTAGAAGAAATTTGAGCATGAAACCACGGAGCTCAATCATTTGTATGTATGAAGGAGTAGCGTTCTCTCAGTGATGGTAGTATATACATTTAATGCATTTGAAATGAATCTTATCAGTAAGACTTAGCAATAAATTTTTTCAATATAATAAAATAAAATTTATTTTAAAGAATTAAAATTGAAAAATTTACTAATAAATTGTATTTTTATGACCAAATTATAGAAGAACTATCTTATAATTATTTGGAGCAATGGCACTTCCATCAACTTACAAACAAATAGCTATAAATCAACAGTCTCCTTCTCGTAAGTGTTGAATTTAACTAATATATCTTTATTTTACTCAAATATGTGATAATTTGATGTATTTCTTATTGTTTAGTGCAATTGTAGTTTTATGTTTGATTATTATTATGTAGATGTGTTTGAATTTTTTAAATATGTTGCTAGATTGTAGATCATAAGTACGATTTCAATAAACTAAGGGTGTTTAAGGTATGCATTTTCTCATTTTAGTTTTTTTGTTTTTTGTCAAAAGAAGTTTTTGATACATAAACATGAACATTATTTGAGGGTGCTAATTTTAAAATTTGGAGTACTCATCATATCCCATACGTTCCCCTATTTGCGCCTATGGTAGATAGGTATTTTGTTATAAAGTTATTTTTATAATATTATCATAATTATTCAGAAATTTTTGTATTCACTTAACAATGTATCAATATTTTAGGATACATACAATGTTAACATTTTTATTCTCTATAAGTATTTGTTTGTTAATTGTCTTAAGATAATCTATATTTTGTTTTTCATAATCTGACACTAAAAAAATGTATATTAGCAGATTAGTTGACCATCAACTTCACTATACAACTATCATTCAGTATTTATTTTAAAAAAGTTTAAAGAAGGTACAGCTTTACATTATGAAATTATATTTTGCATTTTCCATTTACATATCTAAAGTTAATCATATTTTATTTTAATAAAGATAATATGGACAGTTTAAAATATTAGAATTGTATGTAGTACAATAAAGTACGTTACATAAAGTAAAGTACCGTAGTTAGTACCGTACGTGTTAGACATTTACTTCAAATTTTATAAAAATGTAATATAAATATTCTATTAAAAGTTAATGCATGTCAAAATAATTTGATTGTCTTTTAAAGAATCACCCTTTATTTATTTAGTTTTAAATATTGATAAAAAAAAAATGTGAGCATTATTATAGTACAAATGAAAATAGTTTTATACAAGGTTAGTCACTCAATGTTTTAAATTACTGAGTTATTGAAACTTTAATTTTGATTTATTTACCCATTTGCTGTCAACCAATATTTTACTTAACTTTGTATTATTTAGTTTTCTGCTAAAGCTGTATCAACAATTTTGGTAGTAGATATAATATAATAGAATTAAATTAACAATTTATATTGCATCATGGTATATGATGATTCACTAATCCCATATTATTGAATTTATAAAAATGCAATGATCAACACTTATTTTTACCAATCTGATGAAGAGTTGTATATCAGATATTGATAGCATGAAATCGAAATATATGGTGTTTGATTTTTAATTTTTGACAAAAACACGGTATTGATAGAAATTAAAATTATTAAATATGTTCCATAAAATAATGATATTCTATTAAAATGTTCATACTTGGACTATATATTAAACAATTTTACTTACATATATATTATTTATAGATTCTATGACTGAGTCTGCAATTCTGCATGTATTATAGTCTTATTCTACTTTTAGTTAGATTTTTTTTTAAATTCTTGGATTTGAGCTTGTAAAATGTGTGCCCACAGGTGCTCCAGTCACATTCAACATTTTGAAAGGTAAATTGTATTTGTTATAAATTATGTTCTAAATCCACATACAATTCAGTTTAAGATGCACTCATTTTTGCACACATGCCAAAAATCACAATATTTATAAAATTATTTTTCACTATTATTTTTGGTATTTAAAGAGTACCCACAATTAAATTACTTCTTTTTTTTTCAAAATATTAGTTTTACCTTTATCTTGATATATGTATACAAGGTTTTTAAATTATACTTAAAATTAATAAGCTATACTTACCTATATTTTTCTTATTTTTTTCATCTTCAGTATTTTCAATTTTTTCTGTATTTTCTGTATTAGTAAAATGAAATTACTTATTTATTTAATGGCAAAATATACTGACATTTATAAATATCTTGATATTTAAAAATATCGATTGATATATTTCATAAAATTTGGAACTGAAAAAAAATCAACTTAAATTAATTTAATTAAATTAGCTTGATAAAAAAATATTTTTTTTTAGAATATTGGTTTCTTTCTAATATATTTTTTTATTTTTTTCAAAAGCCTTGTATAACTATTTTATTTTATAAATGTATACCGCTAATATATTCAAAAAAAWTTGTGGCAGAAGTATGGTGGTGGATATAAATCAATGCACGATAAAAAAAATTAAATTGTTTCAGGACTATTCTGCTTCAATTTTAATTATTTTAATAAACATGTTTAATGGTATAAACTTTTTATTGCATAAAATAATTAAAATCTAAACTATATGTTCTTCTATTCTTTTCTTTTTTTTTTACATTTAATCAAGTATTTTTATTTAATTCTTCTTTGTAATTAATGTGAGCAAAAATAATGTTTTAAAATAAACTATTAGTGAGGATGTTTACCTCAAAAACCGATAATTCAATGTGTGAATAGTTTCCTAATTTTTTCAGCGACTAAAACGGGATCCTATCAAAATGGTTAGTAAGTCTTATTTACTTATTTAATTTATTCTGTTCCTAACATGCATGACTTTTTTTAGATACTTAGTAAAGTAGGTTAACTCCTATATTATTTACTTTTAAATTTATTAGAAAAAAGTGATATTAAAAAAATATACAAATGAATAAACTATAAATATAAATTTACTTTTCAAACAGAATTATTAAGTTATGAATATTAACTATAAATATTTTTTAAGTATCACTTGCTGATTATTGTGCTTTATGTATTAAGAATTAACCTGAATACTAGACTTGAATGAAAAGCATGTTTTATATAACTAAATGCGGTAAGCAAGTAATAGCATGCACAACTATGTTAATTATAATAATATGATTATAATGATTTTATGATTTTATTCATTGTTCAATATTTTTATTTTCATATTAGTAATTTAAAAATTTATTTTTTATCTTAACAATTAAAATTTAACCAAACTATCTATACCTATTAAAATGTAACTTTTGGTGTATATTCATTTAACAATAATGTATTGAATTAAGTTACATTTCATACATTTAATGAAAAATTGTATTATTATAATTTAAAAAAAGTTAAATTTTCCTTTTTATTAGTTTAAAACTAAATTATATATCTAGTGATAGTTTTATTATTGCATCAACTCTAAGATTTTAAGCTAAATTAATTATTTGTTTAAACAAATCTTAAATCTTTTTATTTTGTCAGTGTATTATTTATGAATAACAATGTTAATCAAATTAAAAGATAACAAGTTAGGTTTTAATTAATAAATAGATTGTATAACAAATTACCTATATTACAGAACGTTTAAGACCGGGTGGAAGTTCCAGCCAATTATCTGGATCTGTAAGTATTCGATTGTTTTTAGATAATAAATATAATGTAAACTAAACTCAAAATTAAAAGAAATAAAGGTCTCTCTGTTTTGTTAATAAATCATTGTCTCTGAAAGACTGCTTACAAGGGAGACATATTTTGAAATGCCGCTAGTTTCGCTAAAAAAAATTAATGGTTAATATTTAACTTAGTATTTGATGAACAAACTTTTATTCATTGCATAGATGTTACTTTAATTTGTTTGAAATATAAACCAATCAAAATTAAAATAATGAATTTAGTTAAAACTAATACTGACTGTTTTAAAAATGTTATGATACATAATAGTTATGTACTTAAATAACCTACTACCTTATTTATATTATTTTTGTAGGTTTTTACTTAGTTTTATTTTTATTTTTAAATATATATGAATTTGTTTTTGTAATTTTAAAACTTATCAAATAATTTTATAATTTTATTGTAATCCAAAAACTAATAACTGTATAGATGCTTATAATTTTAACCAAATTTTTTAATTTTATCATTTTCTATACAAAATGAACATTTTTACTTTTTTCTACAGGATGTTTGTGAAATAGATGGTTTAGTACTATATGCATATTCATTGTGATGGTTGAATGAAAATTTTATTCCTTCTTCAAAATAATTTTAGAATATTATCTTAAATGTAAAAATAAACACTTGATGTATCTTTTGTGAAATTCTATCTTGCAATTCATTTTTGCTCGTTTTTCACAAATTGATTTGTTTGAAAACACTACAAATAAAACAGCTGTGATACTTTGTTGTCATTTAACGTTCATGATTAATTTAATTAATACAATATTTTACACAGAACTTTTAAAGATAACGAAATAGGAATACAATTAGTCTTAACAGAATTTAAAATGATAAAATTTATTGCTACAATTTTAAATTATGTATTTTAGGTATAACAGGTTTTACATTACCCGAAAAAGGCAACATTTTAAAATTGTAAGTACATAATATACCTAAGTACAATTATTTAAAATTTTATCTTTTTTAGGCAACATAGGACCTGTTATTCCTAAAACACATAATTCAAATGTATAATACTAAATTTATAAATTTGATCATTTAAAACTGTTAACGCTAATTTTATTATTACTTCATCATCCTTACAGGTTGAAATTGTAAAACTTTAAATAATTATGTATGATATATTAAATGAAATCAAAGTTTTATAACCACTCGTTTAAGTTAGCAACTCAAGTGMAAAAGCAAAGTGACGTTTCAATTAATATGAAATGTATTACTTGTGTTTATTTTTACATTTAAGATAATAATCTAAGAATAATTTGAAGAAAGCAAATAAAAATTTCAATGGACCTCATCCATTTCAGAAACACCTTGCAGAAATTTGAAATTAAAATATATATATATTTTTTTTTTTGATGTATTATGTTAAATATTATTATAATTAAAAGTTTGTGAATTTAACGCAAAATTTCTCACAAATTGTTATAATAGCAATTCAAATTAACGATGAGGTAGATTCATTTTTTATTGACAACTACAGTTCAGATTTTGACAAAATACATCAAAATCTACAATTTGCAAATAATTTTTTAGTAGAAATGTATACAATATTTTAATTGATCTAACTTGTTATTTAAATGCATGATTTCATTAAGTCTACTAAATATATTTATAATGAATTATAAACTCATAGAAAGATCAAAATCAAAGTCCATTCATTTCGAATAGCCATGGAAATCCAGCATTTCATCCACAAAAAATATCAAAAGCTGCAGTAAGCAATTTTTTCATTTCCCAGCATAGTTTTATTTTTTCATTTATATGCATATTTAATAATTTTAAAGGCTGATGCTCGTGGTATTAAACCTCCTAAACCACCAGAAAAACCCCTTATGCCATACATGCGATACAGTCGCAAAGTCTGGGATCAAGTAAAGGCAGGGAATCCTGATTTGAAGTTATGGGAAATTGGTAAAATTATTGGACAAATGTGGAGGGATCTTCCGGATGATAACAAACAAGAATATATTGACGATTATGAATCAGAAAAGGTATTAAATAATTGTTAAGACTCTGTTTTTAGTTTTAATAACTTATTTCTAATAATATATTCAAGTTGACCTATGAAAAAGCTATGAAGTTGTATCATACTTCGCCTGCCTATTTGGCATATTTACAAGCAAAGAATAAAGGTAAATTGAATCAAGTAGAAGATAGAGAACCACATGAAAGATCAACAGGAGGTGGTAAACAAGCTGCTGCTGACCGAAGAATTGAAATACAACCAGCTGAAGATGAAGAAGGTATGTTCACATAATATAAATGTTTTAATTTAATTATTAAGTAATATTATTGAAATCTACTATATATATTATTATTATATTTTAATGTTTTAGATCAAGATGACGGATTCAGTGTTAAGCACGTAGCTTATGMTAGATATATAAGAAATCATAGATTGATTAATGAAATATTTTCTGATAGTGTTGTCCCTGATGTACGTTCAGTGGTCACTACTGCTCGTATGCAAGTCTTAAAGAGACAAGTACAAAGCTTAACTATGCATCAGGTATTGTATAATATCGATTGCTAATAATATTGATTTTTAATTATTGATTTATTTTTTTAGAAAAAATTGGAAGCAGAATTACAACAAATTGAAGAAAAATTTGATACTAAAAAAAGAAAATTTATTGAATGTAGTGACACATTCCAACAAGAATTAAAAAAAGTACTATTGACACATTTTCAATTTTATTTATTATGTATAATTATGGTTTAATACCCTTATTAATTTTTGATATTGACCCTTTAGTAGTGTATTTATAGAAGATAAAAATTGTAAATAGATACATCGCTGTTAAAACAATCTCATTCTAAATGTTAATTGATTGTTTGTTTGTTATTTTTTAAGCACTGTGTTCAAGCAGTATCAGAGGAAGCATTTCAAAAAATGGTAGAACGCCAGGTTGAGATATTACAAAAAGAACGAACTAAAACTTTGTGCCCACCAGGACCCCCTGAAGAATTTTCTAAGCTACATTGTGAACAGCAATTAGAACAAAATGGAGCTGTACAATCAGTTGAGGAAGATACTTCAACATGTGTGGTTCCTTCTAGTACCACTGATGATGGTTCAAGTATGGAAGTTGAGGTAAAATATTGAAATATTATTATATTAATTAACCTAGCCTATTATAGGTACTGAGCGATGTATAAATTGATTTTACAACGTTATATTTCTTTCAAATTTTTTGTCCGTTTACTTTTAACCTTTTTGTGTTTGGGCTAAGTAGAAATGTTTCAACTTTGTGGTTAGTTTTTGGTAGTAAAAAAAAAAAAAAAAAAAATAGTATTTTTCTAAATCTTAAGGAATAACAACAGTTTTATGTGACAATGGTTTTCTTATTTTGTTGGTTGTAATTCAAAAACACATAACCTAAAGATAATTTTATATATCAAATATTATTTATTTACTTCAAGAATCCTTATATAGCAAATTGTGAACTATCTATTGAATCATTGTACCTTATTCTTGATAACATTGAATTAATTTATGTTGATTTATCTTTTTTTGCTTAATGTCTTATAATTTGTCAATTACTATATTAACAAAAATTATATTATATAAACATAGAACATCAACAAGTGACTGTCTAAAAAAAAAAAAAGATTATTCCTTTAAGACAGGCTTAGATTATGTATATGAATTATTAGAATTACTAATTATTTTATTTATTTACTTTTTTTAGTCTGCAATAACTTCAGACAGTTCATCAAAATCTGAACAACTTGTATCTGAAACTAAGGAAAATGGAGAAATGACAGTTTCTCCTCCACAACCTTCACATCAACCTCAATTATTAAAAGAACAGCAGCCAACACAAATTCAATCACAGCAACATTTACAATTCCAAGCCCAACAAGCTCCTCAGTTCCAAGCCCAATCACAATTTCAACAGCAATTATCTGTACCTCTGCAGCCTCAGCCTTCACAACAATCTTTACAACCGCCTCAACAACTTTTACAGTCACAACCTTCATTACAACAATTACCACAAGCCCAACCTGCGTTACAGCAGTTGCCACAAGCACAACCTTCATTACAGCAATTGCCACAAGCACAGCCTTCATTACAGCAATTGCCACACGTACAACCTTCATTGCATCAATTGCCACAGACGCAACCTGAAATCCAGCAACTGTTGCAGCCACAGAATTCATTTCAGCAACAAACCCCAGAACAAGTCTCTYCACAACCACAGCCTCAACAACAACACTCTCCTCAACCACAATTGCAATCTCTGAATCATCATCAACAACAACCTTTACAATCAAATGTACTACAGCAGCAGTCATTACAGCCACAAACTCCACAGCAACAGTCTTTACAGCCACAGACTCCACAGCAACAGTCTATACAGCCCCAAACTCAACAGCAACAGTCTATACAGTCCCAAACTCAACAGCAACAGTCTTTACAGCTGCATCCTCCTCAACAACAGCCTTTGCAGCCAAATTCTCCTCAACAACATTTGCAGCCAACCTCTCCTCAACAACAATCTTTACAACCACACACTCCACTGCAACAACCTTTACAGCCACACGCTCTTCAACAACAGCCTTTACAACCAAATCCTCCTCAACAACAGCCTTTACAACCTAATCCTCCTCAACAACAGCCTTTACAACCAAATCCTCCTCAACAACAGCCTTTACAGCCAAACCCCCCTCCTCAACATCAACCTTTGCAGCCACATATTCCACAACAACAGATTTTACAACCAAATCCTCCACAACTACAGCCTTTACAGCCACATTCTCCCCAACAACATTCTATATTGCCACATAATCCCCAGCAAAATGCTTTACAGACTCAACTTCAGCAGCAGCCACAATCTCCACAACAGCAGCCTTCTGTACAACCACCATCAATTCAAACACCTTCACAGCCASAATCTCCACAGCCACAATTACAATCCCCACAGACACAGCAATTACCGTCTCCGCATATACAACAATTGCAGACTCCACTTCCTCAACAATTACAACCCCAACAGACACAAGTTCAAATATCACAGCCGCCTCCACCACTGCCTCAATCGCAACCGACACAATCTCAAATACAATCACCACAATCTCAATTACAGCCCCCTTCAGTCATGGTGCCAACACCACCTTCTGTTCCACCAGCAATGGGATCAGATTCACCTTCAAATGTTGTTTCATCAACTACAGAATCACCGCCAAAATTATCAGACCCTAAAGCTTATTCTGCTCCTTCAACTCAACCATATTCAACRTTATCACAGTCTTACACTCAAGTACCTTCATTTCAACTGTCGCAAAATACTCAAGTTAATGTTCCAAATGTATATCCACCTAATCAAACTCCCTCAAATTCTGCTCCTCCGCAACATCCACATTCAGGTATGATGCAGCCTCCTCAAATTCCTTCTCAAGTAGCACCATCATCAACTCCGTCAACTGGATTTCCTCCATATCCACAGCAACAACCTTATTCATCTCAAACAATGCCTCCCAGGCCTTACACATACCCTTCACAACCGTATCCTCAGTATACACCCCATCCATACTACCAAACTCCTTATCAACAATATCCACCACCACCTCCACGTGTAGCATATCCTCAACAAATAAGCACTGCTAATCAAGATACAAATCAACCACCTCTTGAAAGTATCTATAGTGCACCTTCAATTCCTGGACCAACTGAAAAACCAAATGATGAAAATAAACAATTAAATGAGGAAGTGAAATCTACTGAACCAAACACAGGTAATTTAGCAAGATATTGTATTATAAAATTTGAATAACATCATAATTACATTAACATGCATATCAGTTATTTACCATATTTTAAGAAAACTTATGATGTATTGAGATATTAGTGCATTATTTAATAACAACAAATAAACTTTCTATCACTATTTCAGTGTACATAAATGTTGTTATTCTATTATCAAACTGGTTTAAATTGAGTTATATTATTATTATTTGAAATGAAGGTACATATTATTGCTAACATAAATCATACACGGTTCGCGTGTAATATTACTAGATTTTGTATGTATAAATACTCACATTATGTTTTAAGAAATAAAACGGCAAATAAAAACTGCATATTATATTCTTCTTTGGTTATATGTTAATTTTGATAAGTGAAATCTTACTATTTTCTTTTGAAGTTAAAATAATTGTTTCTGTCTTCTTAAAAGAATATTTCGAGTAAAATAAGATATATTCTTGTAGTGAATTTTTTTAAGAAATCTGATGTTTGATAGAATACCTAATTACTTTCAATCCCAATGCTTTGCTAGTGTGAACCTAAATATCACCAATTAATTATGATATTCTTTTAATTCTTACATATTATGTCATTAATTCTTTCCATAAATATATATAAATATTTGCTCAAAGATATGATTATCTGTATTGATTTCCTGCTGAGTACATATTATTTGCACCTTAGTTTTTCTCTCAGAAATTAAAATAAAATATTTTACCACTTTTCCTCTGAAGCAAATTATAATTCAATTAATAATAAAAATCTATTTATTTTTATTATTACATTTGTATGTCAACAGTTCACGAGAAACCGGCTGATCAAGAAGAAACAGTTCCACCTCAACCATCTTCAGCAAAACTTGATGAAGTTTCACAATAATATATTTAAATATACTAAATAATTGTATAAACATTTTTTTATCAATCTACTATTTTTTTCAAGTTTAAAAAAAAAAAATGACTAGGATTTGTGTAATACTATTATTGAAAGTATTTTCATTTTATAATTTTTATTCTAGTTTGTCCACAAAAAATATTTTTTAGAATTAGAGTATATTATGGGTAATGGTTTTAATAAACTAAATTGTTTTCTTTTTCTCTAAACTTATTAACTGTATGAATTTTGCATTCTTATTGGTAACATATTTTTAATATCCTGATTATTTTGTAATTTCAAATAATTTATTTAAAATTAATGTGTGTGTGTATATATATATATATATATGACAATATTAATTATACATACTATTGTTTCTAATTAAAACAAAAGTACAATTTTGTTCTCATTTATCAACAATATGTGTAAAATAATTCATAGTATTTGACAGAAATATAAATTTATAATTAGTGAACTGTATAAATTACAAGCGTTCATATTAATGCAGTACAAAAATAAAATATATTAACATAATAAGTAAATAGTATTTAATTAATTAAGTATATAAGATAATAACATACATCAAGCAAATTCAATTAATTAATACAACCAAAAAAAATAAATAAATAAATACAAAAGTATTTTTCTTACAGGTTAAACGGCTAATTGTAATTTATCAGTTTTAAAAGTTTATAAACAAAAATATGAAATTATTTTTCTTCAGTCCCTTCAATCACAATATTTTAATTTAAGTAATTATTACATGATAATACATAGTTTACATTAAAGGCAATTCCACATTTTGTAGTGTTTATAAAATATTAGCTACAATATACATAATTTGAAAATTTTATCACTGTCATGTATAAATAAATGTTTTATTTTATCAAATATATCAATGAATGATGAGAATAAAATTTAACATCAACAATTGTTAAAATAAAAAAATATTCTTGAATTTTTTAATTTTAGTTTTATTAAATATTAATTATAGTCGTCATGTTTATTACTGTTTCAAAAAAAATTTAAAGGAACTTCAATAAATTGAATCAAGCATACAATATATTATTTTATGAATTTTAATCAATGGATAAATACAACTTTCAGATGATTTTTATTTATATAAAAATTATTATTAATCAACAATAACCTGTATAATACTTAAAACTAAAATTATTATTAGAAAATAAAGTATTTAAATGATTATATCATCTTATTTAGATGAGTTATACAAGTCAAATAATATATTAAAAAATAATAAACAATTGTTTTATTTTTATCAAAGATATTTTAATAAAAGATTATATATATATATATATATCTGCAATATTAATTTACAAATAATTACACTATGAAATGTTTAACTATGTACATATTGAAAAATAATGATTGTCATATTACTAATAACTAAAAATTAAATTTGGAATGATTTGTAGCATAATAATCACATATTTGTTAAAAATCTTAAAATATACAGGACTAGCTCAAAACTTCAGAACAATAAAATAAAATTATAATTTAAGAGATTTTAATCTGAGCATATGTTTTGCTAAATTAATAAGATGTGTTAAATATAATAGGTAGGTACTTGTCACGAGTTATTGACCATAAATTATAGAGTTACGTTTACTAGACATCCAACGCATAAAAATACAAAATATAAGAATCATAGTTATACTCAACATTAATAGAAGACTTGCAATGATTGACAACTCAAGAAAACCCAAAATTGTTTGGGGAGGTGTACCTATTCCTACTAAAAAAGTCCTGAAAATAGTAATGTTTCATAAGTAAAAAACACACAGCAAATCAAAAAATCAAAATATATAACTTACCAATAAGTATAATTAGATTTAATGTAAAATTCATCATTGGGCTGTCCAAAAGACACATTAATTGACTTCAAAAGTAACTGAGAATTGTTACCAAATAATGAATTCCCATACATTTTATATAAAGGTGTGTTGATCCAGTCGTTTTCAAAAGGATGATCTTGAACATCATACTGAGTTGTAGAAGAAGAATTTAAGGCATGAGTATTTTCTGCTTTATATACTACTGGTTTCCAACTTAAAAAACCACCTCCTTCCACATTTCCTTTTGCATTCAACAAATAGTTCTGAAACATTCACATGATATCAATAGAATATAAAGAGGATTTAAACTATTTGTTCTTTTAATCTTACAAAGAATAATGTTATAAGTTTACATTTATATATAATAATTAATAAAATTATATTAATTTTTTTAATGGAGTGGCAATGTTACCTAGAATAATCTATACTATCAAACTTAAAAATATGAAAATTATTCATATCCTCACAAAAATTATAGTAGGTAAGAAAGTTAAATGGTCGCACATAATCAAAATGTTAAAAATTGAAGTTCTTTAATCATAACTGAACAAGTTTTGATGTTGACTCAGAATAAAATTTACTGACTCCATAGAATCGGAAAAAATTTTAATTGTAAATTTAGCACTTTTTTAATTTGGCATCAAAGAACATTTTAATGATTTTAAACATATGTTGCAAATTAATATGTAAAACTTGCAGCTGATTTTATTGCAATAAATTTTTCCTTATCATAATGACTTAATAGGCTATTATCAAAAATGTAAATTTAAAAGAGAAAAAAAATATTATAACTAATTGGGTATACTTTGGATGAATATATTATGGGAACATCCATTTTTTACTCTGATTATATAAACATGGTACGTGGGAATATAAAATATTAATGACCTGATTAACTCCCTCATAACAGCCACTGGTTGACCAATTACCATATTTGAAAATTTAAATGAAATTTAAAAATACAATAATATCATTATTATAACCTGCAATTAGTCAGGTTGTATTATTTATATTTATATGTTATATTTATTTATTAATTAAATTAATTATTAATTTAATAATTATTAATTTATTATTTATTTATTTATGTTTATATGTTATATTTATATTTAGTAAGGTTCTATTATTTTCACACTTGGTAATGAGAGGTTAACATTTTAATAAACGTATTTATTTTTGTTCACAATGATAAATTTTAAACTGCTAGGTTTTTATGAAAATTTAAGTTAGGAGGAAGCTACGACCGCATGATTTGTGTCCATCTTACAAATTTACCACTAACTAAAAACTATTTTGTGCAAAATTTAAAAAATAAATACTTTACTTCCTCTGTATTTATTTATAGTAGAATTACTAAAATGCTATAATCCAAAGGAAGAATTTTATCAGGGTTGTATCATTTTTTTCTGATAGCACCAATTAATAATGTTTAATAAATTAAGACAAAAAAAACTTTTATTGTATTTACCTTATCCAAATAATAAAAATAATAAAATAAATAAAGTTTTTTTGTTATATGTTGTATAATTTTGGTGATTAAACTATAAACACAGATGGAGTTAGTAAGTGGTCAAAATACTTTTCGCTACTTAGTATATTTGTAATGCGGAGACAACACATATAGGTATGGTGTCCTTTTAATATATTGAATATCAACTTAGTTATGTAACTTACTTAATATAAACTCAATATGTTACATACAGATTTTGCAGCAAACATTATAACATCTATATAATTTTTTCTAGGTAATTAAAACAATAATCTTAAAGAAGAGAAATTATTAATCTAGTATTACCTAATTGAAGGCAGTAAAATACAATAAAAAAAAAAAATGTTTTCATGGTAAATTTTAACTAATTACAATGATTATGTCAATACGAGTAGTAATAATATTGTGTTATTCATTGTAGGTATGTGTATATTTTTATTTTTATCATTAATGGGCAGTTTTTTAAGTTCTTAAAAGCTTAAAACATGATGCTAATGTTCTTAAAAAACCCTAAATAGTCTCAAAATTACTTGTTAATATTTAGATAGTTCAATAAAACCAATAAATAACTGCTATGCACCATTCCTTTGGTAATTATTAATTATTGAAGTATAACAAATGTTAATAATTGAATGATTGAATCATTCTTAAAGCTAATTATTATTTTGGTTTTTGAAAAATTGAGAAATTAACAAAATAGAATACAATATTCTAAAATATGAAAAAAAGGCTAAATATTCTTTTATGTTCAAAATATGCTTTAAAAACTTATAAGAAATTTTTCCTACAAGCTCTTTAATGAAAAAATCATGCACATTTATCATCCTCATAAAGTTGCATAATACTAGTCAAAAAATGTAAAAATCTGAAAATCTGCTTTTTATTTGTCATTATAAAAATTATTATTGTTCCATTTAATTATATCTGTGTTATAAAAGATATATAAATATAAATTATACATAAATAAATATTATATTGATTTATAGCTTAAATAATTAATTTTATAAAATAATAAATTAAAAAGTATATTTAATTAACTTACTAAAAATGTACCACCAGATAGTTTATCATCTGAAAATGTATTGCTTGACAATTCTTCAGACTTATTGAATGGAAAAGAGCTACTAGTAAGTAATTCAACTGCAAAGCGTGATTTTGTAAAATTTGTATTCAAATTATTAAGTGTAAGTGTTAGTTCTCCAGAATCAGGAGTATGAACAAGATGTGGTAATAGAGATCCAGTATCTTTTTTTCCACACACTTTTAACTAAAAAAAAAAATTCTTATCATAATATTTATATTACACCAACATTATTACCCATCAAGTAGATTTGGGTATCACAATGTTTTCAATATTTTATTTAACATAATCAAGAATAAAATAAAATGAATTTAGGTTAATTAAATGATCACCAAATTTGAATATAAAAATAAAAAACCACACTAGGATGTCTTTCATAAGGTAATCGAGAGGGTTAAGCAAATAAAGGTTATTATGAACACAGTCACAGTGGATATCAATTGACATCATTGCTGTTAAAAGTACTAATTTAAGCAGCTTAACATTTAAATTTTAAATTAGCATTTTTTGTAAATATTAAGTATTATTTTGAGTATGCGCAAGTTGTACATTAGTATTATAATTTTTCAATTTAATTTCAAACTTTTATTTCCTCACATGATTGGTGACTCACAAGTGTACTCAGATTTAATCCACAGTAAACATACAAATAGAAATTTCAAGATGTTATATTAAAATATATTTTAAAGATATGATATTCTTTTTTAAATTTAATACAATATGTATAGAGCATATTTATGCAAAATGTTAATATTTTTAACTATAAAGGGTTTAAATTTATGTATTTAATAGTATAAGAGTAGTGGATAAACAAGCAAGATATTCAGTTTTATGTAAAAAAAATTAAAATTATAACATGAACCTAACCTATATTTGTTCAATTTTAGTTGATTTATTTTTTAACATATTTTATTTTTTAATAATAAGTAAGTATCTATATTAATATTAAACATCTTGACGTTTTGAGATAATAGCTAATTTTAAAATTAATAAATAGTCAATTGAAATTGTCATACTGTTCAGTGTTCATAAATTTATTTCATCATCAATTAATTTTATTCATAAATGAGCTCAAGGCCAACTTCATGAGTTCTTACCGTAATAGATACAATACCACTTTTGTTAATGCCTGGCGCTCTATATGAATTAGCAGATAGAATAATCTCAACTGATTCATTATTATTTTTTAATGATTGAGATGTATTCCAATTAAATTTTTTGAAATCCATTTTTAAGAAATTATCGGCATTTTTCATATTTGCTGTATCATTGACATCATTGAACTCATACAACTAAAAATGAAATATAAATTTTAAGAATTAAATATTTTCATTTAATTTGTAATATAGAAATAGATAGGTAATAAACTTTTATATTTTAAGTAAAATAAGTAGATAATTAACGATGCTAAGGTATATAATTTCAAAATAATATTTAAAGTAATGTTAATAGATAGGGATTCTATTGAGCTATCTAGTCTATTTTTCTTTTTGTTATGTGTACCTATTATTTGTGAAAGTACATAGAGATTTTTAATGTTATTTAGTATCTAAAATCTATGCTACACTAGCTGTTATAAAGTATATACCGTATACATACTTGCAAGTAATAAACACAAGGTTATAAATTCAAGTATAAGAAAATTAGATAAATATTATTAGTTTATACCTAATAAATTTAAAATTCAAAGAATCTAAGAAGAAAACCAAACTAGAAAATTTTAGGTCTCTAAAATATTTAATGATATAAAAATAACAAATTATCAATTACAATATTGTGAGGCTATTGTAATAAAATTAACAAAACTAAATTAGTAGACAAATAATAAAATATGAGTACAGACTGGAAAAAAAATTGTAAACATATTAAAGACAGATATGATTCCAATATAAGTGAAATAGGTAAACATTGTAGAAGCAGCAGCGTGAATACCTATTTTAAGAAGCGGCTGCCTTATGAAAAATTGGAAGTGGGTATTCCAATGACACTTGCAGTCTCCAAGACCTATACGCCTAAAGTAAATTTTAAATTATAGTCACATATGACCTGCATTTTAAATGTGTGAAAAATAAAGTAAAACGAGTGAAAAAATAAGTGAGGTACTTATTTATGATCGTTTTTTCATTGTTAAACTGAGAATATCGACTTACATTATTGAAGACTGATGCAAACGTATATAATGGAGACCGTGTAAAATTGATACTGTTATTCGGATCTGAAGTATAGTTCACTTTAATAGCAGCATCTTTCTTTGTTATAATAACGACCAGCGATGGTTTGAGTGTGGCATCCAGTACAAAATGAATAGTATCATTATCACCATCAGCGCGTATATATGTAAGTTTTGAAAATTTAGAACAATGATCCTCCATCTGACATCCTGGATTGAATTCAGTGTGCAGCTAGTTAAATAAAAAATGTTAAGTATTTATAAGAAGTTACAATAGCAATGTCATTAAATAAGAGTAGTTAGTTAAATTACAATTCTATCGGCAACAATAGACGCGGTGAATATCGTCAAAACGAACACGATGATTTTAAGTCCTTTCATTTTTTCGAATACACTTTAATGGAAGTGTAGACGGACGACGAACTGAACACACTTAAGTGGCTGCCAAAAAAAATGTTTATAATTCACTTATTTTAAATCGCGATAACTTAAAATTATTTTCTTCAGAATTGTTGGTTGTCTGAAAAGATTGAAAGAAACGAACGAAAGCAATAAAAACAGCGATAACTGAACCTATTTCACCTATTGTTCTATTAATAATTGTAATTTGCGTTATGTTTACTCATTCAATTGGAATTGTAACCGTCATTGGACAGCCAAATGCCGATAATGGAAGACGCATTAGGGCATCTAGTAGAGTTCGAACAAAAGTTTTACGGTTGTTGCGTGACCGCCAGCTGCAGCAGGCTGCTATAGGCTCTACCACAGAATATATATATACAATGTTATGTTTTTGTTGTTATTATCATTATTTTAACGATGAAAATTAATGTAAGATCCACCTATTCCCCTTCCAAGACCGTCTGGACAATATTATTATTTTTGCACACGGTCACACTGTTCATTGTTTGTTGTCATTGTTTTGTTTTCTTATCACATGACGTTGATAATACCCGGTAATTCCRCAATTTCAAATTTCGAAAAACGTGATTATTGGATCTATATCACTAAATAGTAAATAGTAAAAACAAAAACTAAAAGATGATAGTTCAAATGGACCGGATCACCCAGACCATAGAATAATTCGATACTACTCCATCACTAGTGGTATCAAAGAATTCAGGACCGAAAGAAAAGTTTAAGAATAAGAACCGCTAAAATACCTAAAGATCGATATTTGATTTAACCGAATATTCTTAGTAAATCATTCGGTCGCGATCTGGTTACTCAGAAGATTCGTTCATATTGATTCATTCAGTCGCGACTCGCGACCGTCGTAACTCTACTTCGAATGCATTAAATCTGGATGAATATAACATAATGTTAGCCGTCACCAATCCACAAGTAAATAATTTATAACTTTTTATATCTTCTAGATATTAATAACTATAATTTCAGGTGTTTATACCTTTTGGGCGGCAACATGTAAAAAATAGATTCATTGGTGAAGTGAATACTCCATCAGTTGGATATTATGACCGACCAGAACTACATGCTGATGAATTTTTATCAAAAACAATAGTTKATCTATCCTTGGATACATCAGAAAATGTACATGTAAGTGTTTTTGTTTTTTTAATATTAAATAGTTATTTTATAGGGCTAAATTAATTAATGCAATTATTTTAATAATATTTAAAAAAATCATAGGCTGGAAAATTCAATTAATTAGATGGTGAGCTCTTTCAAGTTTCTCAAACATTTCTACATTACTTATGTTTAAGTCTATGTGTAAATTAATTCTAGTATCAATACTTCATAGGTATATCAAAAGTTTTAATAAAAACAAGAAAATATTCAGATTTGTGTGTTATAGCTGATTAAATATGATAATATTGTAAAAAATAATATTATACATTCAAACAAGCTTTCATATAGTAMTTAACACTTATACTTGTATATCATTTTAATGGTAAAATTAAGTTATTACTCATTACATAAAAAAGTAGGTACCACTTTGCTGTACAGTAACTGTCTAGAGTAGCGTTTCCCAACCTTTTTCCCTCGTGGCACACTAGTCCTAACCCGTCCTAACCAATGTAATGCCATTGTACACTTGATAACGACTTATATATATATATATTAATGATAGGGCATCAAGCTTTCATAAATATGATATAAAAAGTTACACATCAGTATTTTAGTAGCAAACAATTTAAAGTAGTGTTTATTTTAGTTAGGAAAACTGTGTAACATCATATTTTAATTTATTAAAAATATGAAATGGATTGATATTGAAAACAGATATTGCATTTTGATCATGTTATGTTTAAGTAAAATATAAAAATCTAGAAATTCTTAGTGATTTGTACTCTGTATTTGAATAGTTGACAACCACACCCTCAATCATCAAATAAGAGTAAGAAAATCGTTAAAATTGATAACTTATTATCGGAATTATAAGTAACCGTATTAATAATCATGATATTTTGCGGCACACCTATTTAGGTTTCACAGCACACCATTTGGAAAATGCTGGTCTAGAAAGATGTATTAAATTTGAATTTATTGATATTATATCATTGTATATAAAAAACAATTCTAAGCAAAGACAATTTGTCAAGATATATTATTAAAATATATATTTTATGGTAATATTACTAATTCTTTATACATTATTTTTTTTTTTTTTTGAATTAATAAACATCCAAAACTTCATAAACCTATGAAGTAGAGATGTTACGAACTGTTCGATTTTCAAACCGAACTGGAAATTCCAAATTATCGAACCGAACCAAATATCTAATAGTTCCGTTCGATAATCGAACCAGAGAAATAAAAATAAAAGTCGATGGAGTAACGGCTAAAATTATAAATTATTATTAAATAATTAATAATTAATAGATTAATATGTATTAGTTATTTAATGTTTGCTTGTTTTAAATATTGATGTTTTTCGCTTTTTCTTATCAGTTATCATCATATTAATAATTAAAAATTAAAAATCTCATGCATAATAATTATTAACTAGGTATTAAAGTATTTAAAGTATTTAAGTATATAGTAGTGAAATCTTTATTCAATAATCCTGAGGTATGGGGGCTAAATGATAAATAAATAAATAATTAAATATTAAATAAAATAATATCCAATTTAACTTTTAATGTTCGGTTCGAGTTCGATAAAATATTTGAAGAGTTCGGTTTGGTTCKGGTTGGATTAAAAGTGTGTAGGTTCGGATCTGTTTGAGTTCGTTAATTTAAAGAAAAGTTTGGTTCGGGTTCAACCTTAAATATTATGGTTTGTAACGTCTCTTCTATGAAGGTTACCTAATGAACCTCTAAATAAAGGGGTGCTGGTAGAATTTTTTTTTATTTTGAAAAGTAGACCTTGATGCCCTACTCAGTCAAATGCTTGGGATACTTCGAGGAAGACATCGAGGCAGTATTTTTTTCCTCGAATGAGGAATATATTTTATCTATAATTCTATGAATTTGTTGGGTAGTAGAATGTTTGAATCTAAAACCGAATTGAGTCGGGAGTTGTTTTTTTGGATTTGAGTTACAGATCTGATTCTGAGGAGCATAATTTTTTCAAACAATTAGGCTAACAACAGTGGTAAACTGATAGGTTTGCATCCTGAAGATACCTCATCTGCTCAGAATCTAAAAGAAATATATATATTAGAGCATGAAGTGCATTAAAAATATTATTAACAGTAAAGTTAAGACATTATAATAACAAAATAAACAAAAACTTTTTATGCATTATATTTTTTATCTCTCTAACTAGGAATGCTTACATAAAATTTTCCAGTTTTTACTATAGAAATTATATTTTATTATAGCCACAAGAAAACTTTATTTTAAGAGAAAAAGATGGTGCTGAAGAAGAATTATACGTTTCTGGTAAAATAGTAGTGCATAGCCGAGGAAATGCTTGTAAATCTGCTGCTGATAAAGAAGACTATACTCCCAGCTGTAGATCATTGATCTGTACTTATACAATGGAAACTAATGTTACTCATGCTTTATGGAGTAAATTCAATGTTTCACCAGAAGTTAATGATGGTGAAATTAAACCTGAAGGTATATTTCATTATTTATAAATACATTCAAGTATTAGAAGTGTTGTATATATGTATATATTTTCATACTCCACTAAGATGGTAAAGTTGAATACTATAGAAAAAACAAATTTGAGCAAGTTTGAAAAGAGATAAATTTTGAAATTTCTTTTATTAGCTTTAAATTGAAATTTATTTTTAATAGTTGTGTATATTATTTATAGAAAAAATTGTTCCATGCATATGTATAGTAGATGCGAAAAAAATAAGTTTATATTCTGAAGGAGGAGATGTTTGGCATACACCATTATATTTCAAGGTATGGTATTGAAATGAGTTAATACTATTACTAGAGGTTAAGTTTGGAAAATATTGCATATTTTGTATTATATACTAAGAAAACACAAAATTGGTTTCATGTAGATTTGGCTTAAAATATAAACTATTTTAATCCATATTTCATTATTTTACATCTTTTAAGCATATTTTATAATTTTAAGGTCAAATTTAGTTTTTTATGACACCATATTATTTCATCTAATTTTTTTCCCATGTTTACCAAAATTTTTATTGTATTTAATTGTGTTTAAAATTATAATAAATCAGACAATAGATGAATAAATATTACTATCATTTACTTTATTTGTATTAATCTAAAATCAAATTCATACTCTTTAAATTAAGTTTATAAGAGCAAATTTGGCCATTTTTGGTATTTAAACATATATTTTTCAGATCATATTTAGTGATTAATTTTTGAGTGCATATAAATCCCAGCAGTTATTATCACAAATCCATAAATATTTAATTATTAATTATTGTAGGTAACAGCCGTTTGGAATACAAGTTTTGGCATATTAATTGAAAGAGATTTAGGTCAAGTTCCTATTGACATGACAGGTAAATCATTGCCATTACCAACTATATACTCGTTGAGTCAACCATTAAAAGAAGTTTTGCCATTGTTCTTATTAAAACAAGGTATTTATTAATATTTAAATTATCTATTACTACTCATCAAGAGTACACGCTGTGGCCAGACATGCATCCTCAACAGTCATTTCTACAGAAACGGCCCCTTAAACAAAGACTGTAATCTGGTAAAGTTGATTAAAATCTATGCATCAGCGAGCGCTATGTCATCAGAGTTTATGCTCAGAACCAGCGTGTTCTCTTGTTGAACAGAGTTTATACCTGGGAGTTTCAACCTGTGTATTGAGGTTCTTAGGAACGTCACCAGTTATTATTAAGTGAACCTCGTCCATAGTACAAAATAAAAATTTGTTTTATTTATTGTTATCATTATTTGTATGGRATCCATTAAAATTGTTTTCAAAAATAGTTGAGTGGTGAGTCCTAAAAGATTGAAATCCCTTGGTATATACTATATATTAGTTATTACTTATTATTTATCACATTATATAATATAACAAAAATAATATTCTATATTAAATTACCATAATTATGCTAAACATGGTATAGAAAATTTGATTGATTTTATTTTGTAGGAAGTGTACTACAGTATGCCAGAGATTGTTTAACTACTATAGTTTTCACCAGTATTGAGTTTAATATATGTTTAATGTATGACATTTTAAATGGTCTACACAGTGTATGGAAGATCAGGAAGCCCACAACTGAAGTAAACTTTTATGTTTTATAAAGATGCATTTTTATTTTTTTTATCCTTGATTTATAGGAATGCAATATTATGTGTGGTCAAGATTCAATGTATTCTACAA